CAGAAAACTTTTATGAATAGTTCTATGTTAAGTTTTTGTTAACAGCCAGCCAGGCATACTCAGATACATTGAAATTCCAGGTTTCTTAGATGTCCTTAATATCCCAGAGACTTTTGTACAAAGAAAGGACTACTTTTTATAGTTTTTGATATAATTGATGCTGCCTAGGCAACCAGTGTATTTAATAAATAAAATACATGACATATGTTTTAGGTGATACTTCATATAAGATTAATAAACTAAATGATGTTCAAATTTTAAAATAGAATTGCTAAAATACTACTTTGAACATTTTAAAGATAAAATATAAAGAATCTTAATCATAAAATTCAAGAGGTATTATAATTAAATCTCTTTTAAGATATAATTCCATAAACTTTCTTCTCTTTAGATTCTTCCACCTTTTCTAAATTTCACAAATATTAATTGTTTAATATACATCAGGGAAGTGATATTTATTTTCGTATTTTCTCAGAATAAATATAATGTAGTAAGAATGTCACCTCGTAGCAGATGTTATAGGATCTGGTATACTAACTCTTTAATTCTTATTCTGAACTAAAATCTAATGATTCCAGCTAGAATTAACATATACTGAGTTAACTATTTTATAAGTTATATATATTACACAAATATTATGCATATGTCAAATAAAACTTTTAGCTTCATCTCTTTCATATAAGTTTTTAAAATTGTTTTCTTTCTAAATGGTCAATTCAAGTTTGCCTTGTCACCTTGACATAACTCATTCTTCTGTAGTCTTGCGTGTCTCTCATCAGTCAGCAGTACTGGAAACTCTTGAACGACTTATAGCCATATGACAATGATTTAGCGTTTTTAATGGGTGGCTAGGAGGAGGAGAAGTTATCAAATCTTACCTAATTCTTTCCCAAGAAATGAGAGTCTTTTTTCAAGCTGGGTTTCATTCTTTACCACCAATGAATTATGAGGTCAATATCCAATCAAAGGAAGACTCCTCATAAGATCAATCCATGTTTGGGGCTGCTTTTCTCCTGCTGATTCCAGAAGAGGAGGCTGAGAGACTGAGAAGCTATTCAGTGTTTTAAGAACATTGTGGGTTGGGGAATGGAGAGAAGAGAGAGAGAATGAATGTATGATTAGGATGCTATGTATATGAATCAACTCCACACAAGGAACGTAAACATTATATACTGCAAATATATACTAATGAAAAATAAAAAACAAACACATAATAAATAGCATGTGGATTCAAGGAGGGAGGAAATAATAATAATAAATAGCACATTAGTTTCTTTAGAGGTTTTGCTATCTAGAGAAAAACAAATGGAACTTACATATTTATCTCATCTTTTAATATTACTTAGAAAATGAAATATTTTGTATTATGACTAAGTTTTATAAAATTGTTATTAATTTTCTCCATTGAATTATTAGCAAGTAGTAGATTGTCACAGACTCAATTTGTTCCAAATTAACCATAATTATTATTCCCCTTTTGTGTCTCACTCTCTGTCAAATTAGCTATTGGAAATGTTTTCAAGTTGGCTTCATACCACACCAGATATTTTTAAAGCATAGTTCTTTCTCTTCAATAAGATATTTGAAACACTTAATATTGCTAACTTTACCCTACTGAAGATATAAAATCAGTCATTCTTCACATAACACAAAGGTAGTCACAAATGTCAGCATCCAGTGTGAATACGTTGTATTTTTCCTCATGTATACTGATAGCATTGACACTCTGTTGGCTGTCTGGTGACAGTACTTACTAAAAGTGTGTCCAGCTCCCTCTGTGCTGCTGCAGTTGACCAGATTTCATTCTGCATGTGGCTGAGTTGTGTTGTGTTGTGTATATACTGCATTTGTCTAATTACTTGATGGGAACTTAAATTATTCCATTTCTTGGCTGTTATGAATAGTGCTGCAATAAACACCCAGAATATGTTTATTGGAACTTCTCATAAGAAACTTAATTCAATAGCAAAATACTACTACCACTACCACTACTACTATTAATAAAAATAATAATAAACTCTTAATTAAAATACTGTCAACTTCTGTGTAAAAATGACAAATATATGAAAAATATCAACCTTAATAGTCATCAAAGATTTGCGAATTAAAATCATGAGATAAAATTTCTCTCTTGTTAAGGTGGCTGATGTAAAAAAAAAGAGATAATAAGTGCTGGCAAGAATGTGGAGAAAGTTAACACATTGTGAGTGTGAATGTAAACTACTAGAACTATTTCGGAAAAGATCCTAGAGATTCCTAGAACACTTAAGATGCAATAACCACACGATCTAGCAATCCCATTATTAGGCAGATGCCCAAGGGACATGAAATAAGAAAGCTGCAGAGATACTCCCCGATGTGGTGTTGAAAGGGTGAAACCTACCAGGTGGTGGGAGGTGAGCCACCAATGCCACATTGCAGGAGTAAGTTCCCTCCTGCACAGGGCTGGATTACCACCAGCTTTTACCACTGAAAATCAAGTTCCAATTCCTTGGCTCTCTCTTTCCTTTCTCTGCCATGTGATCTCTCCAACAGGCATCTACTCACCCTTTTACTTCCTGCCAAGCATGGATCGGCACAAGGCCTTTCCCAGAAGCCACCTTCTATTGGACTCTCAGCCTCCGGAACTATGAACTAAACCAATTCCTTACTTTTAAATTATCTAGACTGTATTATAACAACAGAAAATAAACTAAAATATGGTTTGATCAATTAATCTATATTTTAAAAATGTCCAGTCACTAGTCTATAGAACTCACACTTATCTAAGTCACATTTGTTTACCTGGTACTTCCTTGATAATTATAAATGGTGATAACGAAAAGTGAAGGAAATTAAAATACAAGGAAAATATTGTTTCTCCTAGAGCACAAATCTGTCATCATGTACCAATTTTAAAAACAAATAAAGGCATGGGTTTGTTGGGTGAATATAGAAGAATCCCAAAACTCTGACAAACACTGCAATACTGACTAATGGTCCGAATATTTTTTGGTAGACATTCCCAAAACAAGTTTGTGAGAAAGTGTTAACCTTTTTGTCCCTTTTTGGCTCATGGCTATTTTTAGCTATTTTGACCAGTGTTTTTTCTAGGCCTAATGATGTTGTTTGCTAGTCTGCCCATGTTACAGCAAATGAATTTTAGATGCCCTCTGAGACATTTAAGTAGCAATTGCAGTAAATGTTCATCATGTAGAATTAATAGTGACATCTTGACAAGTTCTATTTGTTTTTAACAGCCCCTCTTACTACACAGAAATATCACCCAGTATAGTGTTGGGTGGCAAAGGGCCATGTTTGGATTTTATTATCACACTGACAGGAGAAAAGGCAGAGCTGTGAGATCACCTCAGTGAGCAACACTTGGAGAACTCAGAGGCTTGTTAAGAACTTGGGACCAGAAGATCTGGATTCATCATTTGGACACCATTTCTAGTGTGAATGGACCTAAATATGTACAGATTATCTGGACAAAAGAATATATGTTATTTACTTATGGTGAAGTAAAAACTAGAATTAAACTTTTTTAAATGATCTGTACAATTTCTCAGACTTACAACCCTGAAATTTCTCAGAAATATGTTATTTAAATAAATCAAAGGGGCTTTGCAGAATGATGTTATATGATTTGTGATTTCCACAGAATATTTGAGTCTCACCTAGTATATCTCATTTATTTGTTAGTATTAAGTACAAATAAAGGAGAGAAAAAAGAAATGGGACAAAAATGATTAAAATCAAGTAACAGGAAAAAGTAACTGAAGTGTTTTTAAATGTGACTTTTTGGTTGGGTGGTGCTTGTTTTTGGCCTCAATATCTCCCTTTCATGTTTAAAATAAACTTTAAAAGCTAGCAAATAAATTTGCCAATTGTTGTGTTCACTTCTCTTACTGCTACGTTTCTTATTAACATTTACTTGGAAAAAGAATAAAACTCCAAGTAAGAATTGGCAACACTACTGTTAGTTCCACGTGTTAAATTTATTTTTATTGCACTGTTTGGAAATTTTTAAATTCTAGGCCATCTTAATAACAAAATTAATACAGTTAAATTATCTAATAATCATTGAAACATTTTTAATACTTGTATTTGAAACCAAAATAAAGGGAACAGAACAATAAATGATCAATAACTTGATAAAAGACAGCAAAGAAAAAGGCAAAACAAAAGAAAACCAAAAACACCTTGAAGCTTTTAAGAAGACAAAAAGAAATGCAAGTCTCAATAAATCCAGAGTGCCTGTTAGTTAGATTGACTTTACATCTTTTTTGAGGCACAACTTCCTTTTTGCTCATGGATAGCCTTTTCTAAAGATTCAGTATTTAGTGGGATTGAAAGTCGACTGTTTTCCATTTTCCTGGCAAATAAAAATAGTTTCCGTTTTGTCAAATATTTAGAAATCAAATGTTGACATTTTTGTTATGATTATTGTCAAGAAACATTTCCTGGAGGATGTCAAACTGGCTGCCATTGCAGCATTTGTCCTGCCTCCAGATGCTGTTTCCTTTTGCCACTTCTGTACAATGGTACTAAAAACACATTTGAACAAAGTAAGACCAACATCTGCTGTAGACACCTACTGCCTTTCGGAACAGCCGAAGCACTGCCACTGCTTGCCACTGGTGCAATTTGTATTGAGTTGCAATTAGTATTTGATTCCTTCTTTGTTTACTGAATTTTTTAAAAATTATTTATTTGGTACAGGATCTCACTACACAGCTTGGACTCACAGTGAGTCTCCTGTCTCAGCCTTCCCAGAGCTGGGATTACAGGCGTGCCCCACCTGGGTTGGCACGGCACACCCGGGATTCCAAGGCCAGCATGGCATGTGATATCTGGTACCGGACTCTGAACCGTGTGCTTGCCAGGCAAGTGTTGACTCTACTGAGCTATCTCCCCTGCCCTGTTTGTGGTTGTCTGTTGAATGTTTATTTCAAAGTCATTATAAAGTTATTTTAGAAAAACGGATGGATTTCAAAGACTCTTCATAAGCTAAGGACGCACTTACCTGGCAGGGGAGACACCATGACCACGAAGGTGGTTTTCCCAAGGTGAGGCTCATCCATTGCACCCAGATGTGCTGACGCCTGAGATTTCCCCAAATGCAGGAAACCCCACTGCGCAATTTGTGGTAGTGGGATCTGTATTCGCTCTTTCCCTGGTTTAAAAAAAGAAAAGGACATCTCTCCTCGTTTAAAGATGTGTATGAGTGAGTATACACATCTAAAGTGGCCAAACTAAAGATTTCAAGTATAGCAACAACAACAACAAAAAATTAATTTTAAAAATTTTAAGAGGGAATAGGACTTGTACTGGTAATTCTTGGTGGATGCCTCCTAAAGGCAGTTGACAATGAAATGGCACAAACTTAAAATAATGTGAAGGTAAAACTCATCTTTTCCAGAATTTTCTCTTTCTGTGAAAGAAAATAGAAAAATATCGTGAGTAAATTCAAACAAGTGGAAGTACTAGTTTGTGGTTAAGCAGTGTTCATAGGCTCTGGAGGCAGAACTGGAAGCTCAGTAAGTCTTACACATTGTTGCTAAGCTAATGACAAATAGGAAAGAGATTGCAAATTATAGTCAAATTAGATAAGTCTACTTTTATCTAAACATATGAATAATATTACCTATGTACTTCTTAGCCTCCATGAAATTTTATGAGTGCAACCACACTGAAAATAGTGTAATACTGTTGAGATATTAACTGTTTTATCTTCTACATTTCAATAAACATAAAGAGACTTACTAGTGATTGTTTCAAAAGGCAAAGAAAGTAAATGCTAAGGGTTTCATTGAAGAAATGATCACTACCTAATTTAATACATTTCTGAAATAGGTACTTTTAAACATCATGCTGTGTACAACAAATACATACTACTTTATCAATTTAACTTTTAAAAAATAATATCTCAATTTTTTAATGATCCTTGTAGATTGAATGACCTTATATGTTACTGAATAAAGTGTGTAGTCCTCCTGACAGCAGGTTTTACTCAACCAATCTGTATCCTCCCGAGCTAGATGAGTTTTCAGCATTTTAGTAGGTACAAGTGAATTTCAACAAGTAAAACCACATCTTTAAATTACTTCCTTGCCAATTCATTACACAGGTAAAACATTGAAATGGAATGTTAACGTCATCATTTGAATAATTCAAGCAAAACATTTTTCTATTATCTATATTCGCAATGACTTTTTAAATGAGTTTCAAAAATTTTAAACTATAGATTCAATCTGTTTTTGATTAATTTCATTCCCTAAGAACTCTATATTTAACATTGGGCATAAATTATCCATTTTAATAGAAATCCTGTATAATAGCATTGTTGGCTCTATGTTTTTAGAGAGAAATTGATTTTTAAGGGGTTACAAAGGTTTTCTCTAGACCACTCATGAATAAACTACATTCTAGTGATTATGTATATATTCATAACACTCTACTCACTAAAGGTGTAATAAAAAGTTTGAGTGAATTGAAAGCCAGCACATTTAAGGCTACTCTATGTCAATTACCCAATATAAAACCAAGCATAAAGTAATAGCCTAAAATGCTTGCTATTATTGCCATTAATAACATCCTCCTAGTTTTAGGAAAGTATGTATTGCTAAGCTTTTTGATATCCAAGAGAAGTGGTGACACATAAATTAAAAGGATTATTAAGCTTGAAGGTCTGGAGGCTAAAATTTGAAACAGCATTTAAACAGGCAAAGGCTTGCATTACCTCGTGGCCGGTTGCAATGGCAGTAGTACTTGCAGGAAGAAACACCACACCTCAAAAGAGGAAGCATAGAGATGTTACACAGGACCAGTTTAGGTTTTTATAATAATTCTTTTGACAGAATAATTAGGGCCCATCTCAAATTGACCTCCGGACCTCATTCACATTAAGCTCTATCTCTGAGAAATTACAACAGTGCCACAGTGAACACAAAATTCCCAGGACACAGATCTTTGGAGGTAAACCACATCTAGCAACAACATATTATTGATAAATAAAATATTGTTGGTGCACAATAAGTTGCACTCATATTGTGCAAAGATTAAAAGTAACCTAATTAATACAGAATTTTACATAGATTATCATTTTTATGGGGAGAATATTTAATGCTGTCTTGACAATTTTCAAATATAGAAATATGATGTTATAGTATATTCAACATGCTATATAATAGACCCCCAGAATTCATCCTGTCTGAGAGTTTTCATCTTACAACCAACAACCACTCATTTCCCTACCTCTCCCACAGGCTGGCCTTGGCAACAACATCTCTTCTGACTGTTTGAGTTCAACATTTTTATATCTCAAATATAAGCAAGATTATTGTCTTCCTGTACCTGGCTTATTTCATATAGCATGAAATTCAGGTACTCTGGGCTCATCCACAAAAGACAGCATTTACTTTCTTAAAGGTGAAATAGTTTTTTTAGTGAAGTATGTGTGATGTTTTCTTTATGTATATACTGGATGGTGGCACTTAGGTTGATGTTAAATCTGTGCTATTGTGAATGAGGTTGCACTGAACAAGAGAATGAAGATATTATTTAGTATGCTGATTTTGTTTCATATATATATATATGTATATGTATATATACATATATACGCTGGATCACATGACAGTTCTATTTATAATTTTTTAGAAACCTCAGCATTTTTCTGAATAAGGTAATATTTGTTCAGATTTCCAAGAACAGGCAAGAGTTCTTTTTTCTCTACACTTTTAGCAACTTTCTTTTGATAAGGACCAATTTACTGGACCCCTTTTTTTTCTTTTTAATATATTTACTACAGGATCTACAGAGCCTTACTATGTAGATTAGGCTGATTCTCTTGTTTTCAGCCTCCCAAGTTCTGGGATTACAGGTGCAGCCACTACACCCAATCTCAATCACCCTCTCAGAGTGTTCCTTGGGTGGGGCTGGTACAGAATGCTGGGGGTCAATCCCCTTGGCTGTTGAGCTCTGCCAATGTCTTCGTATGAGCAATGGATATTCAGGTCCTTTGCCTGTTTAAAATTGCTTTATTTTCTTGATTAAAATCTTTATATACTTTTACAATTAACACTTTATCAGGTATAATTTGTAAATATTTCCTTCTATTCTGCAGGTTTTCTTTTCATTATATTATTTTTGTCCAATTTTTTAGTTAAACATAAATATATTTGTTCAATTGTGTTGTGTTTTAGGTGTCGCATCCAAAAAAATAACTACCTACACCCATGTCATGGAGCTTTCTCTATTTTTTTTTCTAATGAAGTCTCACTATGTTGTCCAGGCTAGCTTTAATCTTCTGGGCTTAATTTCAGGTTTTGTGTT